GTGAATAAAAAGTTCCAGCATGCTACATGTGAAATTGAAAAGTAATGGCGTTTCAGTATGTCACAGTATCAACGCAACATCATCATTTATCTGACCAATCGTTCCACATATGGGCGTTAGCCTGTTTCCTTTTTTTTTTTTAACTATTAAAATACACACTGTATCATACTGAAAATCGTGGTAGTGTAGTGGTTATGCGTTGGACTGCTAACTGCAATGTCAGCAACTCAAATTCATCAGCTGCTCCTCGGGAGAAAGATGAGGCTTTCTGCTCCCGTAAAGATTTACTGCCACAGAAACCCTACACAGGGTCGTGATGAGTCGGGACTGACTCAGCACACACCACCACTATAAATTCACCACACATCATTTTGTATGTAGGATGCTTTCCAGGATGTAGAACTGCTGGACCAATGGGCCCTTGGGAAGGCTAAGCCCACTGTCCTGCCGCCAGTGGGTCCATGAGAGGCAGGTCCTCTGTGCCCCTGTCACAAGGTTGTCTGGCTGGGACCCTCAGGAGGTCTAGCAGGCTGCCTGCATCGAGGGAGTGAGCGTCCACCACTGACACTGCCTCTTGCAGTTTTCCTAACAGATCCGAGTTTTGACCCAAGAAGTTAAAAATAAGTTTATATCTAGAACTTGGCAAAACCCAAGGATCTCCTGTCCTTTTGTCACATGGGGGATGTTGAATGTTTCCTTAGTGCCTTCCTCAATGCTCTGTGCCGCCATTGCCAGTCCAGTTTGGGAACGGGTCAGGCTTTTGCCTTGTACTTTCTCCTGGAAACCTGGTCCTTGAGTGCTGTTACAGGCCCATTATATGCCCCCCAAGCCTCCTACTTTCCCTCAAGGTCCTTACCCTTGTTCCCCAAAGCGCCTCTATTCTCTATAGCCCGGTCCCCCCTTCAGACCACCTCACAGCCATTCTCCTTCCAACTGGCTTCCACTGCTGATTGGCCAGTGCCTCATGCTGAGCCTGCTGGAGACCACCAAACTCAGGCCCCTCCCACCCAGCTCAGCGCTGGCAACTCTCCATCTCTGCTGAAGCCCCTGATTCAAGAACATTCATTTCTGCGGCAATTTTAGACCTTCTTTCGAAAGCTAGTGTGAAATGTCTTGATATCCCTGCTTGAGGCTCAATTCTAAAGTTGCAAAGGGTCTGGTTTAATTACCCACATAGTGGGCTGGAGAGCCCGCCTTCAAGAGGCTGAGAAAGGAGCACAGAGATTTGTTCAGGGAAACAAACCGTCGTTGAGTGTTTTAAGCTGCAGTGGATAATTTAGCCTCTTCCTCCATAAATAAACTATTTCCCACTTAGCAAAGGCGCTAAGAGCAGAGCTGGTGCTGTACCTATCCAGCCAAAGTGATGGTTGAACTTAAGAGTCCTCACGAAATGCCTTTAAAGAGATTTTTTTAAAAAGCACTTAACCACCCTAGCCCAATAAATCCTCACCGTGTATAGTGCATCCGTCGGGGCCCTTGGCCACCACACGGGCAGCTCAGTGGAGACCCCAGCCCTGGAGGCCAGCCACGAGGGCTTGGAAAACACAGCCTCCTCCCAAGAGCTGGCTTCCCTGCTCACTGCCAATCTGGACCCAAACCACCAGAACAAATACTTCACTCCACCCCCCACTTCAGGCCTCATGGTCTCATGAAGCCTGGTTGGGCTGAAGCATAGGTCCGTGCAAACCTCTTAACTCAGACATTTCATAGAAATCAAAATGTCTGGCCTCTCCAAGGCTACAGGCACTACTCTGGCCTTGTGTGCTATGTTGTTGTTGTTAAGTGCCGTCGAGTTGGTTACGACCTATAGTGACCCTGAACAGGGGTTCCAAGGCTGTAAATCTTTACGGGAGCAGAAAGCCTCATCTTTCTCCCGCGGAGCAGCTGGTATTTCGAACTGCTGACCTTACGGTTCGCAGCCCAATTCATAACCACTACGCTACCAGAGACATGTGAAATAGTTATACATGTGTCTGCGTGTAAGCTGTCTATACATGCATGAAACTACAAGTGTCTGTATAAGCTATCTATGTGATACACACATGTGTGTAAAATACTTATATGTGTGTGTGAGCTATCCATCTGTGTGTGTGTGAAATATCTACATACGTATGTGAGGAATTATCTATATATGTGGTTATGAGGTATTTGTGGGAGATAATATCTATATGTGAGTGAGAGAGAGAGAGAGATGTGTCTGTGTGTGAGATATCTATGTGCATGTGTGTTGCATATGTGTGGGTGTGAAGAATATTTATGTGTGCGCATACAACTATATAGATAGGATCTATCTATCTATCTATCTATCTATCTATCTATCTATCTATCTATCTATCTATATCGAGAAAGAGAGAGATGCTTTCTTAAATAAATGATGGCGTTGACAAAAAGGCTAACAGGAAGATGCTGGAAGATCCGTATAAGAAGCCTGGTGCTCCATTACCCAGCAGGTGAGCAGAGACGATACTTGGAGTCAGAGAGCAGCTGCGTATCCCAGGGTGGCCTGATGAGGACTCTGGCCAGCCCCTGCCAGTGGGAGCAGCAGACCTACATTTGGAGTGCAACTCCGGGCTTCTCTGTGGGCCTCACACGTGTGGGGGAAGGAGCACATATAAATATGAGCAGCAGCTGCAGCTGGGAGTTGCCTTCCCCCATCTGGAGTTCTCGCTGCTGTGGCTCAGTGGAACGGTTTCAACACTCCTCTACAAATGGCAACGTTGACATTGATGTCACTTCAAACGCCTCTAAACAAAGCGATGGGCGCTCCCCCAGGATGTGGGAGGGAGCACACCAATTACTGGGCAAGGAGCACAGGAAGAGAGGGAAGACCCAGGTTGTGGTGCTCCCTACAGCCCCCACTGGCCAAAAACCCAAAAGCTCTCAGCGTATCAACCCTGAGGGGCAAAAAAAAACCCAGCAGACGTTTAACATGCTCAATCCCAGAATCTTTGCCCCTACTAGGTGCCATGCAGTGTTGCGCTCACAGATGTGGCCTGGTGGAGGTCTCCAATTTGCCTGTTATTGTTGTTAAGGGCCATTGAGTTGGCTGAGACTCAGTCTAGGGTTTCCAAGGAGTGGCTGCTGGGTTTGAACCACCAACCTTGAGGTTCAAACTGACCTTGCAGTCTAGTGCATTATCCTGCAACACCATACCAACATGCATTTTGAAATTAGATCAGCTAGATAACTGTGTCTGAGTGTTTATGTGTGGTGTGGCTACTTTAACATCAAGGGTTTGGTGGGAAAGATGAAAATGGTGGAAGGTACACGTGTTATTTCTAAAGAACATGCATTGTGTCTTGGACTTGTTTCTGCTTCTGGGGTCTCAGAAACCTGCAGGCAGCTTCTGTTTCAGTGGGCGGCAGGGAGTGGGGAGAGCAGCCCCAGGGGGAGTGAGTGTGAATGTGAGTGGATGTGTGTGGGCTAGGGGAGGGAAGACCAGGCTGAGGGGTGATCATGTAGGAATCACCAGGCCACTCTCATCATAAGCCCATCAGGGCTCAGGGCTCGGCTTCTCTGCTCCATGTGGAATGGCAGAGTCCACCAATGCTGACCAGATGCTGCCACCCAACCGTGCAATGCCCAAGAATACCACACCTGTCTCCACAGTCCAAGGTACCACACTGTCCCATTTAAATATGGAAAGGGCTTCCCTGTCCCCAAGATCTTAAAAGGCCAGCCTCTTTGGTCCAGGGCAACACTCCAGTGGCCATGACTTTGTGGAGCTGGAGGAGGAAAGAGACGGCAGAAAGCCAACCTCAGGGAGCACCCACAACAGTCTACATCTAAGGTGGCAGTGGGGCCCGTACAGGGAGAGCTGGGAGCCAGGCCAGGGAGGGGCCTTGTACCTGGCCAACCTGAGGCGAGGAGGAAGAGGACACAGGAAGGGGCATGAGATGTGGGAATCCAAAGTACTGATTTCCCTTTAGGCCTGTAAGGAGTCAGGGCGGCCTTGTGAACCCTGACCATCTGGTTCTCAGCTCTATGATATCTAAAACTGGCCTCCGTATGAATCTCAACCACATGAGAAGGCCCTGGCTCAGGTAGAGCCTGCAGCACCTTGGAGCTCTGCCTTCCTCTATGAAGTGCTTTCCTTCTGGCAGGTGTTGCGGCAAATGCAATGGGTCTGCTCAGACAGAGCAGGTCAGCTGGGGTGGAGATACCCATCTATAAGGCTCCTTACAACATTCAGTAGACAGTCAGCTGCAGGAAAAGGAGGCGAGGGGGTACTTGAAGCGAGTAACTTAGTTTACCCACCAGCATTTGTCTTCCTAAAGTGCACCAAGGTTTCAGTAAGCCTGCCTGCAACAGATCCCCCAAAGAAACCAAGTCTGATGGTGAAGATATACAAGTACTTTCCGTGTAAAGACCCTCTGATCCCAATAGTGCCAAGCGGAGAGAAATCCAAGGAGCAGGCAGGTGTCAACAGGGGACAGGAAATAGAAAAAGGCTGAAATGAGGGAAGTCTGACTACCCACTTCACTAGGAGCCAAGCTAACAGCCAGCTCGTGGGGACTGCAGGGAGCAGTTGGCCTGAGCCAGGGCCTGTTCATTACAACTCTCGACAGAAGGACGTGTCCCCATCTCACCCAATCACAGCTTCTTCTCATGGGTGTTGACCAGGGCTTTGGGTCAGCCTACAACTTACTCCCAGTGTTCCACTGTAGGATCAACACTAGGCTGAGAACCACAAGATCAGCAATTCAAACCCATCAGCTGCTCCTCAGAAAACCTACACAGGGTCACTATGAATCGGGAACGGATTCGGCGGCACTTAACAATAACAACAACACTTACTCCCGCCGTGAACTGAACTCAAAGATTCTAGACATTCAGAACCCTCACCCCACACCTCCTGTCTTCCTGGGTCCCCAAGGCCCCCTACCTGCTGGTGGCTGGTCCCCACCACACTCTGGGGGCTGCAACAGCCCTTCCAGACCATGCCTGTGCTAAGAGAGCCTCCTACAGTCATTACAAGAGAAGGAAAGGGGTTACCTTACCACGACAGGGGGCACCTCGAGGACCTTGTCGACATTCTTCAGCGACAGGGGCACATACCACAGCGTGGCCTTGTTGGTCATTTTTTTGGTACCTTAAGAGAATAACAGAACATGAGAGATAGCCTAGGGTGTGGGGGCTAGCCCAGCAATCTAAATACCACTTCATCTCACCTGCTAGCACAGGCAGGCTCCCCCACCCCTCCCACTGCCACCCCAAGTGAATAAACACAGACCTAACCTGAGATCCACAAGCCACAGTCAGAGGTTTTGTCCCTGCTCCGTCCCCCACTCCATAGCCATGGGAACCTCCCACCCAAACCTGGGTGCCTGATCCTGGGCCTATGCCAGGGTGTGTTCCCTCCCAGGGCTGGATGGGAGACTCCAGACCCCAAAATTTCTAACACCTCACGCCTCAGCTGGTGCTTTGACAGGATGGAGTCGTCCCTGACTCATGGCAACCCAAGCAGAACTGTGCTCCCCAGGGTTTTCAGAAGTAGATCTCCAGGACTTTTATCCAAGGTACCTCTGGATGGGCTGGAGACTCTACCTTTCAGTTAGGAGCCGGGTGTGTTAGCAATTTGCACCCCCAGGGACTCTGAAAGGATGAGGGCTCGGCTCTTCTAGGGCCTCAGAACCCTGTGACAAGCCTCCCTGACAGAAGCATGCACTATTCTATGAAAGGACACCCCCCCCACACCACCACAAAAGAGCCAGAACAAAGCCCAAGAGAAAGGAGGGCTGAAGCCGCTAACTTACTGGCTCAGTCTTTACCCACCATGCACGAATGACATTCTTGAGTTTGAAATTAAACGTGGAGGTGCTGGATGTCATTACCCAGACAAGCAAGGTACAGACAGGCGCCACCTACTTGCCTCAACACTATGAGAGGACTCCCTCCAGAGGGATGTGGCCCTCACAGTCGTCTGTCCCTGGTCTCCACCCACAGGAAGAGTGGCACCCAGCTCATCAAAGCCCTGCTTTGCTGCCCCAGAACTTCCTCAACCTCAACCTCCTCTCCTTCAATGTAGGGAGCAGCACACAAGACACTTGGATTTGCTGCTGGCCTACTCAAATTTACAATCCAGAAAATTCCACATGCAGAAGAGATGAGCTGCGGGCTGCTGGCCTCTCTCTGGGCTGGCAGAGGACTGGCCCTTCCTTGGGGCACAGGAACTGGGTCACAAGGCTGCCAGGGTGAAGAGCTGTGTCTGGGATGGGAACTGCAGGAACTCACAGCCCAGAGAGGCCAAAAGGTCTGCCAAGAGCCACACAGTACCTCAGTGCCAATCTTGAACAGACTCCCTCTAGCAATTTCAGGGAAGTGTTTGCAAGAGTGCCTTGAGTAGCTCCTTCACTGTGAAACATGCCAGTGTAGAGTAGGGCAGGCAGATGGAGACAGGGAGCAGGAGTGGGAAGGTGTATGCAGCTCCAGCAACTGCTGAAAGTCCCCCCAAAGGAGCTCCTGTCCACCAGTTCCCTCTGACTTGTCTCCCAAGAAAGACGAACCTGAGACTTTGGTGCAGGATTTTCTCCTAAACAGAGCCCCGGGCACCAAGTCAATCCCCAGAGGGTTAATTAAAAAGCAGTAGCCGGTATGCAGAGACCCATGGGGCCATGCTCCAAACACAAACGGCCGCTGCTCCGCATAGACATGGCTGCGCTACCAGGCCAATGGGCTCTTCGTTCTTTGGACTGACAGGCAAATAATACAGGAAATATTTTCACTGCACTTTGACTGTGAGTGGATCTGACAAGCTGCTTTTGGGAATAAAGATTTCCTGTTTGCCTCAGCCAGAGCCAACCTGACAAGCTGGTTTCCATGGAAACCCGAGTGGCTCTCTCCTAGACCCAAATGAACAACACAGAGCAAATGAAGCAAAACATGCTAATTGTACTTTCTCAATCATTTAATAAAGCCATCAAAAGGCAACTGTAGCATTAAAAACATCTATTTTAAAATCTTAAAAGCTACCAGTTATTCTCTGGAGCGATTTGCAGCAATGACATCCTAGTTAGCTTAATATTTTGACAGTTGCCGGAGATGAATGAGCCGTGGCAGAGGCAAGTTTCGTTGGCTGTCTGGCTCACCTCATGATGGGTAACATGGCCCAGATTGAGAGGCACACACAAAACTGGGGACCCCTGCATCATAGGGAGGACAAATACCTGGGGACATCATATGAACAGTTTCATGATTCAGTCAATCCAGGCTAGTGACCCTGGGTGTGTAACTGGGCTACCTAGAACCTCAGCCTTCTCGTTTCTTAGAATCCACACATCCATTTGACCAGTATTTATGGGGGCTGCTGTTTGCCAGGCACTGTTCTTGGTGTTGAGGGTACTATAGTCAACAAAACGACCTCAGAGAACCCCCATCCTTGGACTTACATTAGAGTGTACACATAAAGACAGAAAGGCCTAGAGACCTAGGCCAGAATGATAGAGACTCGCACAAATCCAAACTTGGAGAGAGGTGCAGAGAGCAAGACAGAGGCAAAGAGACCATAAGGAGAGACAGGACAGGACAGGGAAACCCAGAGAGGAGAGTGAGGCATGCCAGGTCACAGAATCAGGAAGCAGAGTCCAGTCCTGCAACAGCAAGCTCTGGGGCAAGATGACCAAGACATGTTGAAAAGCCACAGCCCTCAGAACTCAAAGCCTGGGACTGAGAAGTCTGGACACATAGCTTGCCTTCTGCACAATGGTGTCATGCTGAGGGAGAGATGTGTCCGGAGGGCTGAGACTCCCCCGTCCTCTAAGGAAGGAGCAAGGCTGCTGAGGTGGGGGTGCTCAGGGAGGTGAAGTGGCCTCACCAGACCAAGCAGAGGACTCGGCTCTTGCAAGAGTCCCCTGGTTCTCTGTGTGCATCTTCACCCCTAAAACATGAGCGATCCTTTCAAAAGGAATTAGATCATGTCATTCTCCTAGTCAAATCCTGATGGTGTCCCATCTTAGCATGGAGGCCCAAGCCTTCCTGGTGGGTGCCCCGTCATTCATCCTTCACTCATTATTGACTTCACCTCTGTTGTATGCCAACCAAAGATGCCCGGGAGCAAAGACACACAATCTAGTACTTAGACGTCACAATCTAGGCAGGCTGTCTCCCCATGGCACTCTGGACCAAATGGTTCTGTGTTGTGGGGCCACCCTGGGTGCTGTGGGGCCACCCTGGGCACTGTAGGATGTGTAGTGGCATCCTTGCCCTCCACCCACTAGATGTTAGTAGCACACCCCACCACCCCACCCCTGTCCAATTCTGACATCCAAAAATGTCCTCTGAGGGCCCAAACTGGCCCTAGCTGAGAATCCTGGTGCAGGGAGGGGACAGGAATCATCAGTTGAATTTGAGAAGCTGTTTCTAACATACAAACCACAGGCTCCTAGGATGCCAAGATGGGGCAGTGGGACCAGGCAAGAGACAGTCAGAGGGTCCGACCCAAGGCGAGGCATAGCAAAGCCAGATAAAAGAAACCACAAGCCTGACAATGCCGAAGTTCAGGTTCTCAAAGAGGCAAAGTGAGTCCTGACACTTCCAGATCCTCTGTGGTCAGAGGCAGGTGACCGGTCACTCCTGGTGACACTGTGAGGAAAGGCCTATCCTGCGGCACTTGCCTCAACCACACCTTCCAGTTCCTTCTCTCTCCTGAAGTCAACCATTCAGAGCAGTCAGGCGGTTCCCTGTTTTCCCTTGAGAAGTAAATGCCTCCAGACCCGCCTGCTGCAGCTCAGCCAATCGCCTGTCTTCTTCCCACTTCCTCAGAGTCTGATGAAGATGCAGTGTCCTCAATGTGCCCCTCCAGCCAGGATGCAGAGCCCAGGCAGTCTGTACCCCTACTGCCTTTCTCACCCTTGTTTTTGTTCATCAGGTTTCCTCTGGGGCTATGATGTCCAGTGAAGGGCAGTGTCCTGGCACTGCCCCTACGCATGAGCTAGATATAGGCAGGAGTGGGCAGCGGACGGCCCTATCTGTCATGATGGGGCCAAGTGCAGGTCAGAAGAGCTGAGAGGGACCAAGACTGCTCTGTGGGACCTCACCCTGGTTGCAGCCACCGTCCCCAATAGGATGGAGTACACGGGGCATCCCTTTCTGCCAGAGCTAGAGACCAGGACTCAAGGCCTATAGATGCTGGTGCTGCCCATCCTTTGATCCCTGGATCTTGTTCAGTTGAACTGTTGTGTATTATTGCTGGGCCACCCTGTCATGGTCCACACCCAGTCCACCCCATGGGGGACGCAGGTACCCACCCAATGTAGTTCTGAGCACAGCATGGTTAAGGGCAGCCATCTGTCAGGAGTCAGGGGGAAGGGGGCGCACAGGCTCTGGGTGTCCTGGGACCCGGGGAGGGACACTTAGCAGTGGGGAGCCTGGGATGCAAAAAAGAGGCTACCTCCCTCATTACAAGCACGGTTATAAAAAGAAATGTGTGCGGCTGCCTGTTAGCTCTGGTGCTGCCACACTCGCCTGCGGTGCCGAGTGGGAAGATGAAAAGGGGTTTCCATGGTTACCAAGACCAGGAAAAGAATATTCAGATCACACCAGAGTCAAAGGTTCCCCAGTGAACTTCCATCTCAGGCTGAGTAACAGGCCCTGAGGAATGCGGAAGGTCCAGAGCCGGTCCTTCACAGCGTTACAGACCACCAGAGCAGAGGGCCCAGGAACACCCAGGGCTGGGTGAGTAGAAGTAAACACCCAGAGCTCTGACTCCGCTCTGTCAGTTGCCGACTGGGCTGTGTGATCCTGGGCTTAACTGCCGGAGCCTCAGTTTCTTTGTCTATAGAATGAGCCTAAAGTGAAGACAGTAGCGGCACCTGCTGCCGGCTGGTGGTGGGAATGACAGGAGGGGATCCATATGGTGTTTGAGCCCACCCGCTGGACAGAACTCAGTAAATTAACTACTGCTGCCGCCAAGTTTCCTGGGCAAGAAGCAGCCAGAAGTTACCTGTGAGGATGTTTTCCGACATCACGTTGACCTGAACTTCCACAGAGTGCTTGGAGGTGTAGGTGATCTCTGCGCTGACGTGAGCCACCTCACCAATGCACATGGGTGACAGGAAGTCAGTACGCTCAACTCGGGCCAGGGCAGCCACACATCGCTCCTGTGGACACCAAAGACGGAGGTCATGCTGGGCCAACTGAGTTCAGCCTAGGCTTGTTCAGCCTAGCTCAGGCTAGCTTAGCTTAGCTCAGCTCAGCCCAGGTCAGCCCAGGCCAACCCAGCCCTGTCCAGCCCAGCCCAGGCCAACTCAACCTAGCAGAGGCCAACCCAACCCAGCTCAACTCAACCCAATCCAACCCAGAACAGTCCAGCCCAGCCCAGTCCAAGCTAACCCAACTTAGTCTAACTCAACCCAACCCAATCCAGCAGAACCCAGCCTAGTTCAGCAAGCCCAGTGCAGTCCAGCCCAGCCCAGGTCAACCCAACCTCGTCAAGTCCAGTCTAACTCAGCCAATGAAATCTAGAGCTTATTGCCCCGCCTCCCTGCCCCCATTCTTTTATTCCTTTCCACTGTGAAAATAACCAATTCATTGATGACATTTAACAACACCAACAGCATTCATTTAAAAGGAACCCTGGTGGCACAACAGTTCAGTGCTTGGCTGCTAACTAAAAGGCCAGTCTTTTAAACGCACCCAGAGGCTCCACAGAAGAAAAGATCTGATGATCTGCTCCGGTACAGAGTACAGCCTAGAAAATATAAAGCCGGTTCTCCTCTGTCCTGTACGGTCTCTGAGAGTCAGAGTCAACCTGATGGTACCCAACCACAGTTTTTGTTTTTGTTGTTATTAAGTGCCATTGAGTCCGTTCTGACGCATAGCGACCCTATGCCGGGTTTTCCGAGAAGTGTCTGGTGAGTTTGAACAGCTGATCTTGTGACTGAAACGACTTTGCAGTCCAGAACGAGTACATTTAAACACAAAACAGAAGACAGCATACAGAATCAACTGGTTGTGGTGATTAGGAGTGATAAAGATTATGGATGATTTTTATTTCTTTTTTCTAATTTTTCTCCAATACATGTTTCTTACTTGTATAATACAAAGTGAAAAAAAAAAAAAATTCATGCTCATTATAGAAATCCTGGGAAATACAGAATAAGAAGAAGAGAAGAGAAAACTACTCCCCCTCATCCACAAATAGCCATTGTTGCTATTTTGGGAGAATTCTTTCTAATTTTTCCCCTAAGAATAGGGTTGTGTTGGTTCACTGGCTTGTGTGCCTGGCTCCTTGTTCCACTGCTTTGGTCTTAGGTCATTGTGTAAATCATAAAGATTTATTTTCTCATTCTGCTTTCTTCATTCAACACGAGGAAAAGGAGTCTGCCTGGGTTATAACACATTCCCGGTTGTCACTAATTTTTTTTTTTCTTTTTCTAAAGTATCCTTCAAATAGGTAACCCTTTCCCATGATTCAAAACTAAACAACAAAACAAAAAAAAAAAAACGGCATATAGGACCAGTTCTGTCTTCATCTCTTTGTGCTGGACAAAGCAAGATCTCTTTGGGTGAGCAGCATTACCCATTCCATGTGTCTTACTGGATGGAGTGTTTACAGCCAAGTGAACGAAGTTGACCAGTAGGGCCCTCCAGATAATGAACGCTACTTAGATAGGTACAAAACCTTGCTTTTTTCCTTCCTTCGCAATCTCTTCTGAAGCTCGTTCTTTATTGCGGCAGAAGGGACCTTTTTATTTTTGTTGTAATAACTAATGTTCTTATTGTGGTAAAATACAGATAAGAACATTTTCTAATTTGACAGCTTCTACAAGCATAATTCAAGAAGCTCTGGTGGCGTAGTGGTTATGAGTTGGGCTGCGAAGCTCAAGGTCAGCAGTTCGAAACTACCAGCCGTTCCACCGGAGAAAGATGAGGCTTCCTGCTCCGCTAAAGGTCTGCAGCCTCGGAAACCCTGTACAGGGTCACTATGAGTCAAAACTGACTCCAGAGCACAACCCCACAAGTATAATTCAGGGACACCAGTCACATTCATCATGAGGTACAACCACCATTGCTATCTTTTTTCATATGACTCTACCATCATCAACAGACCCTCTACGCAGTGACTCCTCCTTCCCTCCCATCTCTGATAACCACTAAGAAGCTTTGGTGTCTATACATAGATCTGTTTCGTGTAAGTGGACTCACACAGCATTTGTCCTCTTTCAATGAACTTAATTCACTCAGTATAATCTCTGCAAGGTAGTTCTCCCTGTCATAGCATGTATCAGCACTTCATTTCTCTTCAAGGCTGAGGAACATTCCATCGGATGCATATGCCACATTCTGTTTGCCCATTCATCTGTTAGTGGATATTTAGGTTGTTTCCATGCCCTGGAGGCATGGTGACTAAGAGTTTGGCAGCAAGTACTTGGCAGTTCAAATCCACCCATCACTTTGCAGGAGAAAAGCCCTCGCAATCTACTGATTACAGCTTAGGACACACTGGGGGCCCTTCTGCTTGGACCCCTAAGGTCTCTCAGTCTGAATCAATGTGACAGCACAAAATCACCACCACCTGGTCTCTTTCAAGATACTTTCCACGTTTTCTTAACACTCCACTGCAAAAGTATTTTCAATGGCCATGTAGAATAGCATAGTCTTCTATCAACCCCAATTATTTATTATAAGTCATTGTCATAGATTGACTTGTGTCCCCCTCAAAATATGTGTTGGCCCGGTTGGATCATGATTCTCAGTGGTTTGACAGTTACGTAATGACATAATCAACTCGTGATGTGATCTGATGTGATCAACCAATCAGCTGTAAGGATATGAAGATGGAATGCAACATCTTTATACAGACCACAGCCCTGATTTGATGTAAGGGGAGATCCTCCGGGGTGTGGCCCGCATCACCTTTGATCTCAGATGAACAGAGGCGGAACCTACCACCAAGAAAGAAGACCCAGGAGTAAGGTGCTTCTTTGGTGCCGAGGCTCCTTGTGTTGAGAACCTCCTAAGATCCAGAAGATCGATGAAAAGACACATGGAGATCTACAAAAGACACTGGTCCTGCAGATGCTGGAAGGAGACAAGGCTCGTCCCCTAGAGCTGATGCCAAGAGTCTAGCCTTCTAGCCTCCAACACCGTATGGGGATGACTCTGTTTGTTAAAAACCACACACACGTGTGGCATCTCTGCTACAGCAGCACTAGATAACTCAGACGATAATCCTTCACTGTATTTGGGATTATTTCTGATGTCAGAGGGGCAAATGTTCTGATATACAAGGGGACTTGCAAAAGTTTGCAGAAAAATGGAATGAAAAGATAATGGCATTTCCTCACAAATTCTTTGAAGCCCCCTTGTATTTTCAGAAAGGGGACTTGGTTTAAGTGTCCTCAGGGACCTCACACCAGCACTATGGTGTGGCTTAGCTTTCACCGTTGCAAACTCTTGTTGCTGTTACTTAGTGCTGTCGAGTTGATTCTGACTCATAGTGACCCTGTGTAGGGTTTTCGAGGCTTTAAATCTTTATGGGAGCAGAAAGCCCCATCCTTTTCCCCTGTAGCAACTGGTGGGCTTGGCCACCGACCTTATGGTGCTTATCCTATGGAGCCACTGTGCTCCCTTTGCCAAGTTTTGCTGTTGTTGTTGTTAGACAACACAAAATTGAACCAAAAATGCCCTTGCATTTGAGCCCCATGACTATAGATCTTTATTTTTCTAAATAAGCACATCACACTTTTATGATTTTCTACTGTAAACCAATCATCCTTCTTACAAGACTGAGGTACTCTGGCTGTCCCTGGCCTGGGGGGGTCAATAAGGACTGGCCAATGGATGGGGACACCTACCCTGAGAGTTGCCTATAGGCCTGGGCAGGTTCTTCCACTGACTTCTTCCTCATGTAGCCCTCACAATATCCCTCTCCACAAAGGGAACCTGAGGTTACCTGGCTACCAGGTGACAGTCAGTACAAGGCCTGGTGGGTCTGTTCTCCTTCCACAGCTACCTGTCACCAGGGGTGCCTCAGCACGCAGCTCTCTCATCTGTCAAATATGGATTCCCTGGTCTGTCCCAGACCCACAGAACTCTTTGGAAGTAAGGCCCACGAACCTGGGCTTAACAAGCTCCCAGGTGATTCTTGTGAATATTGGGTCAGGGGATACTGGGGCAGTTTCTGCTGTACCAATGTCCCAGAGACAAGACTCAGAAAAGCAACTGGAAAGGAAGCTGGGGGGAGGAGGGTATTGGAAAGCATACCAGAGATGTGCCTATCCTCCATGCAGCTGATTTGCATGCCCTCCTCCTCTTATCCTAACCCACAGTTCCTGGGTGATGCAAACAATTATAGCACTGGGTTGCTAACTGAAAGGTTAGAGGTTTATGTCTACCCAGATGTACCTCAGAAGAAAGGTCTGGTGACCGATCTACTTCTGAAAAATTAGTTATTGAAAACCCTCTGGAACACAGTTTGTCTCTAAAACATGAGGTCATCGTAAGTCAGGGCTGACTCAATGGCAACTAGTTTGGTTGTTCCCCTTCTACACACACATACTCACCATCTGCCACCTCTGCCTAGAATAATGTTCAGGAACTCCTGGTCTTTGGTTGGGTGCCATGGAGTCGGTTCTGACTCATAGACCCTGTACAGGGTTTCTGAGGCTGTAAATCTTTACGGGAGCAGAAAGCCTCATCTTTCTCCCACGGAACAGCTGGTAGTTTTGAACTTCTGACCTTGCAGCTCGAAGCCCAATTCGTAACCACTATGCTACCAGAGCTCCTTTCCATGGCACACAGCCACCACCTGGCACAGCTGCCTAGACACGTATGCAGTGCAGGCCAGAACTCCTGGTCTTTGGTCCTTATGTAAACAAATGCATGTGGCTACAGCACCACCCACTGGTGGAAACTGGAAAGGCAACGACTAAATGGCACTGGTGAAGAGTAAGGGAAGTGTTGGTGTGGTGCTGTGGGCTAATGCGCTGGACTTCAAAGTTGGTTTGAATCACAGGTCAGTTCAAGCTCACCCGTCGCTCCTTGGAAGCCCTATACAGGGTCGCTATGAGTTGGAACCTACTCGACGGCACTTCACAACAATAACAACAAGAGTAAGAGACCACCAATCTGCAGTCAATGTCTTCCTGGGAGTGGT